TCGTGTTTAATTCAATCTCCCTATTCTTGCTTACTACTTAGTGGGAGGGTTTAGATCTTTCTAACTTATAGTAATGACTTACATAGTTGACGTTTTTGTTTCCATTTTTCTTCAGGATGTTTATGATATATTTTACATTCTAATTCCTTCCTTTTTCTTTTTCAAATGTTTGCCTCTTTTGAGCATTTGAAAACTTTATTGTGATTTTTTTATTCCATTAATGGCCATTTTTTCTTCCCTCAGCCTCATAATCAGATGCATATTACTTCATTCTTTATTTTTTTGAGATGGAGTTTCCCTCTGTCACCCAGGCTGGAGTGCAGTGGCGCAATCTCGGCTCACTGCAACCTCCACCTCCCGAGTTCAAGCGATTCCCCTGCCTCAGCCTCCCAAGTAGCTGGGATTACAGGTGTTTGACACCACACCTGGCTACTTTTTGTATTTTTAGTAGAGACAGGTTTCACTGTGTTGGCCAGGCTGGTCTTGAACTTCTGACCTCGGGTGGTCTGCCTGCCTCAGCCTCCCGAATGCTGGGATTATCGGTTTGAGCCACTGTGCCTGGCCAAACTTAAAGGTTTTGTAGAGATGGTTTAATATTTAATAAAATTTTGCCTCAATATGTCTATTCCGTATGAGAAGTCTTCACAGGGCATGTAAATCACACATCTCAGGCAGTTTATCCATTTGGATTTAAGTTCTTTTCTTTTTTTTTTTCTCCTATTAATCTGATGATCTGTCTCCTTGACTATCTGTCTCTCCACCCATTATACCTCCACCTCCACCAGTCTTCCACAAAGTTGATTGGTCACTCTAACTTGCTCTCCTCTTCATCTTCCCCTCTTCCGGGGACCCTTCCAGTTCACAAGTTGTTTGTTTAAAGTCCTTTGTCAGATGAGTTATGTGGATGACAGTTTTCTCTCACCCTCTGTTCTCTGTTCAACAGTCACCTCCTTTCCTAAGGGTGCCTTCACCCTGTCTCCTTCCCTGCTTTTCTTTTCTTCATGCATTTAGCACTTCCTGACATTTTTTTTTTGAGGCAAAGTCTTGCTCTGACTTTTTTTTTTTTTTTTTTTTTTGAGGCAAAGTCTTGCTCTGTCACCCAGGCTGAAGTGCAATGGAGTGATGTCCGCTCACTGCAACCTCCACCTCCCGGATTCAAGTGATTCTCCTGCCTCAGCCTCCCAAGTAGCTGGAACTACAGGCATGTGCCACCACACCCAGCTAATTTTTGTATTTTCAGTAGAAACAGGGTTTCCCCGTGTTGCTCAGGTTGGTCTCAAACTCCCGACCTCAGGTGATCCACCCACCTTGGCCTCCCAAAGTGCTGGGTTTACAGGTGTGAGCCACCTCGCCTGGCCACAATTTGTGTTTTAACAAGCCCTCCAGGCGATTCTGATGCTGTAGACCATCCTCATTTTCTGTGTGGGAATCCTGAGGCTGGGGGCAGGAAGTGACTTGCAGGGACTCATGTATTCTGCAAGTTTCCAGGTCTCTACAGTTGCAGGTCTGTGCTCTTGCCACTCAGCCAGGCTGCCTCGCCTCATCTTACTATGTTTTTTTTGTAATTAAAACCAACCACATATCAGTCAAAACATTTCAAAGCACTGCGATTGAGTCTCCACTCTTACAAAGTTTCTAATTTCATTGGGGTGTTTCCAGGATTAAAAAACAATGTGAGTTAGAATTGTTTCTATAAGGCTTTGAGCAGTGGAAAAGTGCCAGGAGATTGCATTGCTTTTCAGGGGAGGCTTCTCAGGCTGGGGCTGTAACGTTATAGCCCAGCGTTAGGGCTCATGCCCCCCTCTCCGCTCAGTGCCTTAATGCACAACACACATGATCCTGTTTCCTCCTGTTGGTGGGAGAAATGTGTAAATGGAGGTCAACGCTGGCCCAGGAGAGAGATGAGGAACTCTGACATTGATCAAGCGCCCATGAGCACTGCCCTTTTCTCACTAATGACTTCATTTGTCACCAAGTGTCCTAGGAGGGATTTGGGCGCCTAACAAAGAGGAGGGGAGCCCTCTGCTATCACTACATGCATTTCATGTATTCCTTTCTAGTCTTTTTAATATGCATTTTTTATTAGTTTGTTTTTATATTTTGGGCAAAACAATGCTCATTATATTATCAAAGATTGCTTCCTTTCTTCAGCACACCTAGCACAGGCCCTTCCTCAGCTACTGCTATAGAGCCTCTACCCATCTTTTTTTTTTTTTTTTTTAAATAAACTTGGCTGGGCTCAGTGGCTCATCCTTGTAATCCCAGCACTTTGGGAGGCTGAGGCAGGTGGACCACTTGAAATCAGGAGTTCAGGACCAGCCTGGCCAACGGAGCAAAAACCCATCTCTACTAAAAATACAAAAAATTAGCTGGGCATGGTGGTGCACACCTGTAATCCCAGGTACTTGGGAGGTTGAGGCACAAGAATCACTTGAACCTGGGAGGCGGAGGTTTCAGTGAGCCAGGATCGTCCACTGCTCTTTAGCCTGGGCGACAGAGTGAGACCCTGTCTTAAACAAATAAATAAACTTTTTATTTTAGAAAAGTTTTAGATTTATGGAAAAGTTGCACAGATAGTTCAGAGAATTCCTATATACCTGTATGACCTGCACACTGCACACTTATTCTTTAGAGAGCAGGATTTTAGGATTAGAGAATTGAGATTTTTGAGCAGAACAGTGACATTCTTAGATTGCTCCTTTTTGAAAAAGCTTCTAGAAGCCTATTGTTGATTGGACCAGTCTTTGTTGATTGTATATCATTTGTCAGACTCTGGGATATGGGGTGGGTACAGTGATGAACAGGACACAGCACCTGACTTCTAGATTTACCTTCACAGCCCAACAGTAGAATTGATTTATTCATTTAGAAGTAATTTTTATTTTATTTTTTGGTAGAGATGGGGTTACTTAGGCTCATCTCAAGCTCTTGGCCTCAAGTGATCCTCCTGCCTTGGACTCTCAAAGTGCTGGGATTACAGGCATGAGCCACCATGCCTGGCCTTGAATTTATTTTATTAATGTATTTTTAATTTTTACTCGTAAAACATGCATTTATATATATAAAATTTACCAACTTACCAGTTTTTAAGTGTACAGCTCAGTAGTGTTAAGTGCATATACACTGTTGTGCAATCAATCTCCAGAACTTTTTCATCTTCTAAAACTGAAACTCTGTCCCCATTAAACACCGACTCCTCATTCTTCCCTCCCTCTAGCACCTGGCAACCACCATTCTACTTCTGTCTCTATGAATTGGCTTACATTCGATACCTCATATAATGAAATCCTACAGTATTGTCCTTTGTGGTTGAGTTTATTTTGCTTAGCATAATGTCCTCATGGCTCCTCCATACTGTATCATGTGTCAGAATTTCCTTCCTTTTTAAGCTGAACAATATTTTGTTGTATGTCTATACCTCACTGTGTTTATCCAGCCTTCTGTTGATGGATGCTGGGTTGCCTCCACATTTTGAATACTGAAAATAAAGCTGCTAGGAACAGGAGAATACAGATATCCCCTCAGGTCTCTGCTTCTAATTCTTTCGGGCATATACTCAGAAGTGAAAATACCGGATCATGCCATATTAGTATTTTGAATTTTTTAAAGGCCCTCCATACTGTTTTCAATTGTAGCTGCACCATTATACATTCCCACCAACAGAGCACTATTTCGCTATATCCTCACCAATGCTTGTTATTTTCTATTCTTTTTTTTTTTTTATAGTAGCCATCCTAATAGGTGTGAGGTGGTATTTTTTAGTTTCGATTTGCATCTCTTTAATAATTAGTGATGGTGAACATCTTTTCATGTACTTGCTGGCCATTTTAATGTCTTCTTTGGAGATATGTTTATTAAAGTCCTTTACCAATTTTTAAATTGGCTTTTGTTGTTGACTGATTGATTGATTGACTGATTTTTGGAGATGGAGTTTTGCTCTTGTTGCCCAGGCTGGAGTGCAATGGCATGATCTCGGCTCACTGCAACTTCGCCTCCCAGGTTCAAGTGATTCTCCTGAGTAGCTGGGATAACAGACATGCGCCACCATGCCTGGCTAATTTTTGTATTGTTAGTAGAGGCAGGTTTCACCGTGTTGGCCAGGCTGGTCTTGAACTCCTGATCTCAAGTGATCCACCTGTCTCAGCCTCCCAAAGTGCTGGGATTTCAGGTGTGAGCCACCGCGCCTGGCTCGTTATTGTTGATATTTAAGAATCCTCTTTACATTCTCTCATAGCAGCATGATTTTCAGTATCCAATAGGTGGTGGCAACCCAGCATCCATCAACGGATGGATAAACACAGTGAGGTATAGACATACAACGAAATATTATTCAGTTTAAAAAGGAACGAAATTCTGAAACATTATACAGTATGGATGAGCCATGAGGACATTATGCTAAGTAAAAGAAACTCCATCACAAAAGGACAATATTGTAGGATTTCATTATATGAGGTATCAAATGTAAGCAAACCTGTGTGTTGTGGATATTAATGACTTATTAGATATATAATTTGCTAACGTTTTCTCCAGTTCTGTGGGCTATCTTTCCATTTCATTGGTAGTGTACTGTGATGGGCAAAATTTTTCATTTTCATGTAGTTCAGTTTATTTATTTTAATTTTCGTTGCTTGCATTTTTGATGTCACAGCCAAGAAATTATTGCCAAAGCCAATATCATAAAGCTTTCCCCCATGTTTTCTTTTACAAGGTTTATACTTTTAGCTTTTATATTTAGATCTTTGATCTGTTTTGAGTTCATTTTTGTATGTGGTGTAAGTGGAGGGTCCAACTTCATTCATTTGAATGTGGATATCCAGTTTTCCCAGCACATTTTTTCTTAAGACTGCTCTTTTCCCATTGAATGGTCTCAGCACCCTTATGGAAAATCATTTGACCATGTACATAAGGGTTTAATACATAATATAATTTATTTTGAAATGACACCCAGGCATAGTAATGGAATGTGTGTGTTTCTGCTCCTCCCTTCATCCCACATTCAGGTAGTATCACATTGTTTGCAGTCATTACCATCATCCTGGGATGCCTTAAAATTGGATACTTCATTGGATTTTCAGAATGTTTACCCGCCACTGAAGGAGTTTTCCCTGTCACCCATGCAGTGCATACTTTGTTGCAGGTAAACCACTGATGCTTATTTATTTGTCTCGTACCTGTGAAGTGTATCCCAGGGTGTGTAAAGACTTGTAACATCAAGGCGTGTGGCACTGGAGCCAGCGTGAGCAGCTGCAGACTGCTCAGCGAGTCCCAGGGTGACCTGGAGATTATCTCTGAGGCTTAGTCCTTCAGCTGCCTCCACTGCAAAATGAAACTGTGTCCCCTTGACCATTTTTGCAGGGATCCTATGAGGCAGAACTTCTGATGATGAGGAGTCAGGATATTCTGCCAAGCCAGAGTCTATCCTAAAGGCTTGAGAGAATTTTATTTTCTGGGCATATGACAACTTTATTGAGAGCATTCACGTGCCATATAATTCATCCACCCAACATGTGCATTTCAATGGTTTAGTCTCTTCATAGAGTTACACAACCATTGCCAAAATCAATTTTACTTTTAAAAAGTTTTAATATTTTTCCTAAGTGGAAACGATGTGCCATTGCAGTGCGTCCTCTGGCTCATGGAAGCACTTTTGTTTTCTCACTTGGGGATTAAAATCTTTTAGAAATGTATGCGGATTTTTTTTTTCCCAAAGCACTGGTAAACTTGGTGTGGCTCAGAAGTAAGGATTTGAGGAATATAATTTAAATACATAGCTTAGGGTCAGAAAAATCTCATGGTTGAAAAGAATATTAGATGGGCCTTCAGTGTAGTGTTCGCCCTTGGCAGAAATCCCTGGTAATGTTATCAGAGTCAGGATCTGAACTGTTGAATTGTCAGCCTCATTTTTTTTTCCTTTTTTCTTGTATCTGTTTAAGGTATACAACAGGATGCTTTGATATTCCTAGCCATAGTGAGTGATTACTACAGTCAAGCATATTTATGTCTGTCACCTCACATAGGTGCCTTTCTTTTTTTTTTTTTGGGTGTGGGAAGAGCACCTATATTTCCAGTATATAATACAATATTACTGACCATAGTCCTCACATTGTGCATTACATCTCTAGAATCATTCATCTTACGTATTTGCAACTTTGTACCCTTTGACCAAATCTTCTAATTTTTTTCCTCCAACCACCATTCTACTCTTTATGTTATTTTGTTTTTATGTATTAATTTAATTTAATTTTGCAGTCAGAGTCTTGCTCTGTTGCCCAGAGTGGAGTGCAGTGGTGCAATCACAGATCACTGCAGCCTTGAATTGAGGCCAGTCATCCTCCTGCCTCAGTCTCCCTAGTAGCTAGGACTACAGGCATGTCACCATGCCCAGCTTCTACTCTGTTTTTATGCATTCGATTAAAAATGTTTTCCTGGATACCACAGGTAAGTGAGATCATGCAGTAATTTTCTTTCTGTGTCTGCCTTATTTCACTGAGCACAGCATCTTCCGGATTTGCCCATGGCAGGCTCTGCCCTCATTTTTTTCTTAGGAAGAAGTTGGAGCTCAGAGTAGACAAGTGACTTGCTCAAAGTCACCGCGGAGACTCAGTGATTATTTTCTTCCTGACAAGTCACCCTGGAAGACCATGAGCTTGTTTTAGTGATACTGCCATTGCTGAAAATATTTTTGGATTCCCAGTTTGAGAATGTTTTTTGTGAAGTTTTCTACCTCTAGGAAACTAGTGATGCCATTTTAAAAACTTCATCTTTTATCCAAAGTGACCTTGAGTCTGTAGACTCAGTTGACTTACCAGACAGCACTGGATGACCTTAGAGTGTTTCTCTAGATCAAAGACATTCTCAAATAGTGAAGCTAACAGACAGAGCGTGCCCAGTGAGCCTGAAAACAGTTTAGCTCAGTGGTGGCATGCTGGAATCGCTGGGGAGCTTGCTGAGGGACTAATTTGGAGGGGCTGCCTTGTACCTGAAAGCTGTTATGGACTGAATTGTATCCCCTGTAAAATTCACATGCTGAAACTGTAATTCTCAGTACCTGATCATGTGACTGTATTTGGAGATAGGGTCAGTTAGAAGAAATTGAGGTTAAATAAGATCATTAGGGCTGCCCAAATTCAATATGCCTGGTGTCTTTATTTTTTATTTTTTTTGAGTTGGAGTTTTGCTCTTGTTGCCCAGGTTACAGTGCAATGGCATGATCTTGGCTCACTGCAACCTCGCCTCCCGGGTTAAAGCGATTCTCCTGCCTCAGTCTCCCAAGTAGTTGGGATTATAGACACCTGCCACCATACCCAGCTAATTTTTGTGTTTCTAGTAGAGGCAGGGTTTCACCACATTGGCCAGGCCAATCTTGAACTCCTGACCTCAGGTGATCCACCCGCCTCAGCCTCCCAAAGTGTTGGGATTACAGGCATGAAGCACCATGCCTGGCCCTGGTGTCTTTATAAGGGGAGGAGAGAAGGACACAGCACACACACAGAGGGACAGCCATGACACTGGAGGAAAATGACCGTCTACAGGCCAAAGAGAATGGCCTCAGAAGGAACCAACCCTGCCAACACCTGGATCTTGGATTTCTAGCCCCAGGACCCTGAGAAGAGAAATTCCTGTTATTGAGGCTGATGGTCGGTGGTCCTTTGTTATGGCAGCCCAAGCTGATCAAAGTTAACGGGCTGTTCATTCCAGGGACGTCAAATCCCATGAAGACAGAGCCTTATAGTGATAAAGAGATAATGTGGAAATCTTATCTTTTTTTTTTTTTGAGATGGAGTTTCACTCTTGTTGCTCAGGCTGGAGTGCAGTTTACTGCAGCCTCCACCTCCCAGGTTCAAGCGATTCTCCTGCCTCAGCCTCCTGAGCAGCTGGGATTACAGGCATGCACCATCATGCCCGGCTAATTTTTGTAGTTTTAGTAGAGACACGGTTTTGCCATGTTGGCCAGGCTGGTCTCGACCTTCCTACCTCAGGTGATCTGCCCACCTTGGCCTCCCAAAATGCTGGGATTACAGGCATGAGCCACTGCACCCTGCTGAATGTGGAAAGCTTTAATGAGCCAAAAGAACTGCATTTGTTCATTCATTCATTTTTCATGCAGTTCATCTTTAAGTATTGGGTGAACCTTGTTCTCAGTATGGGAAATACAAGGGTACAAAGCCATGGTCTGTGGCACACTCCACTGGGGTGTCAGGTAGGGGACAGTACCCAGAACAGTGACAACACTGGGCTCAGTGCTTTGACCAGAGTGTCTCAGAGCAATGAGGGGGCACAAAGGAGCACATTTCAGCAGCTTGGGTTGTGATTCGGTTTCTGCCAGGGAAGGTCCCAAAACTGTCTATGAAAGAGTAAGGAGCACAGGGTAGTAGGTCAGAGGCCACTGGAGGAGGGTGTCTTTGGGACGTGCAGTCTTCCCTCACAGCGGGGTAGGGGGAGATGTGTGGGCACAGGCTGGATCCGCAGTTTGGTGCAGGGCTTATAAGATTGCACTCTGGTCAGATTGCATGACTCTGCCTCTGACTACAGCTGTGTGGCCTTAGGCAAATTACTTAACCTCTTTGGACCTCATGGGTCTTACTTGCAAAATGGGGACAATCACAGTACGTACTTCATGCACGCGTTGTAAGGATTAAAGGCACAGGTGCATGAACAGCACTTTGCACAGGGCTAGGTGTGCAGCAAATTCTTGGTCAAGGCTGACCGCCACCTAAAGGCTTGGGCTTCACCTTGAGGGCAATGGGGGGCCACTGAAGGCTTTAGGGAGTGGAATGACCTGGACAGATGTGAATTTTAAAAATATCCCTCTTACTTCGTGGGTTGGAGATCCTAGCTTTCTAATTTAAGGCATTTTATTGGTCTGGCAAGTCAATGAATTAATCATTCTATACCTGTTGGACACTTACCATGTGCTTTTGCTACATCAGATGTCTGGAGAATGGGAATATATATATGAAACAAGTATGTGGTATTCTAAAAAACAGAGCATTTATTTATTTTAAAATTGTGGCAAATACTGTAAAACCTGTAGCTACCAGAATGAAATCACTTTTGTCAGACCCAGGCAAAACAAGGCTGGGAAGGCACCAAGGAGAGGGGACTCCTGCCTACATGTCTGAGATAAAAACTCTTTCCAAGGACTTCCTTAAAACCCTCATGCATTTCCTGCTTTGATGAGGCTAGATATTACTAGACATTCTTCAGGACTGCAGTAATGCAGGTAAGATGCTCTTGGAAGAACACCTGCCCAGCCCTGGCATCTCCACCAATGAGCTGATGACAACTCTGGCTTTAAGCCTCTAGAACCAATTAATTCTGTTTCTAAGCAGCTTATGCAAATCTCTCTTTGCTAATAACAGCTCCTCCTTACTCTTCCCTCACTGAATGCACTGGTGGCTTGCCATTCCATGCATTCTGGATTATTCTGGATTGTAATTCCTATTTCTATTTCCAAGTAAATCTAACATATTTAGAGATAATTTTCTCTAGTGTCTTTTTTTTTTTAGATTGACAATACACCTAACATTTCCCATCTTAGTCATTGTAAGTGTATGGTTCAGTAGTGTTAAGTATATTCATATTGTTGTACAATCAATCTGCAGACCTTTTTCATCTTGCAAAACTGAAACTCTGAACCCACTAAATAACTCTCTAGTTCCCCTCCCCTGGTTTCTGGCAACCTCTATTCTACTTTCTGTCTTTTTGAGTTTGAATATTCTAGATACCTCATACAAATGGAATCATACGGTATTTGTCTTCTTGTGTCTGGCTTATTTCTCATAGCATAATGTCTTCAAGGGTCATCTATATTGCAGCGTGTGTCAGAATTTTCTTCCTTTTTAAGGTTGAGTAAAATTCCATTGTATGTCTATACCACTGTGAAAGAAAAATAAATCTTGGGATCCCCAAATCACTAAGCCAAAAAGAAAAGTCAAGCTGGGAACTGCATCAGGCAAACCTGCCTTCCATTTTATTCCTAAATAAGATAGCTACAAAGATCTTAAAAATCTGCATACCTCTCTCACAATTTGCCCACTGGGAAATTCCTTGTGGGCTCCAAGATCTTTTCCCTAAAACAGTTGTGTTCAATTTCACCCTCACAAAGTAAATGGATAGCTTATCTTCACAGGCACAGGACAAAGGACAGAACTCAAAGCCATCCCTCTGCTCACCTGAGACAAATACATACCTGATGGCTTCCTGTGCCCTGTGTTTATTTTATCTTATGTAGAAATGCAGGTTCACTGAGCTAGATGGATGCATAGTGAAAGACTGATCTCACATGTGAAAGACTGATCAAAAACTCAAAAAAAATGCAACCATTTGCCTCTTATCTACCCACACCTTTATAAAAAAATTTCTTCCTTGTTTCCCAACATTTGCTCTTTCTCTTTAAAGCATTAAGCCCTCAAAATAATCTCTAAAGAAAGGCACAGACCAGTCTTCTAGGTGCATGTCCTTAATCTTGGCAAAATAAACTTCCAAATAGATTGAGACCTGTGTCAGGTACTTTTTGGTTTATAACACATTTTGATCATCCACTCATCTGTCTGTGGACATTTGGGTTGCTTCTACCTCTTGGCTATTGTGAATAATGCTGCTATGAACATGGGCGGACAAATATCTTTGTGAGAACTTGCTTTCACTTCTTTTGGACATATATATATATACTCAGAAGTGGTATTGCTGGACCATATGATAATTCTAAAAATAAAAAAAATGCCAAAAAGCATTTATTTAAAAAATAAAATGTAACATTACTGAAAGAAGTGGAAAAGATAATAAAAATGCATCTGTAAGCAAATCAACTGAAACCAGCATTTGTTATTGCTTTTATGTATTTCCTCCATTACTTGTACTTAAAGTGTACATTCTTGTCAAAGTTAATGGATGTAGAATTTTCCATTACAATTTTTTCACTATAAAAAGGTTTTAATGTTGGTAGGTAGTTTTTATAAAAAGCATCAATTAAATGTCTGTCTAATTTTAAATCATCGATAATTGCTAATTTACTTAACTGTTTCCCTGTTATTGGGCTGAATGCTTTAATGAGGAGTCACTGCTATTTTTATTATTGGATGTTTCCAGACAATTAGTGCCTTGAATGTGTTTTCCTGAGTAAGACAGTAAATCTTAGGTAAAAGAATGTGAAAGAGGTGATATGTGTATTTTATTTTGTACTGTCTGATTTTATTTTTATAACTCTTAATTAGAAAACAAAGATTAAATGAGACAAAGTTACAAAATGCCTAGCAGTGTTTGGCATGCAGTAGGTGCTCAATATGTGTTTATCTCTAAAATGAAGCCCAAAACATTTTAGAAGCCCAAATAATGCCTGACAACATCAGTGAATTTACTGAAGACATACATGCTTCTTTAGGAGATAGTCTAAGTAATTGACATAGATCATTTCATTTAATTGCTCACAATACCCTCTAGGATAGGTTCTTATCATTCCCATTTCAAAGATGGGAAAACAGATTCAGCAAGCTTCCTTGACTTGCCCAAGGCCATGGGCTATTCAGTGAGGAAGTCAGGATTTTCACAGGTCTGATACTATATAGCATCTATGACTTCAATCCCTTCCCTTCATTGCTGCTAGTGACTACATAACCAGGGGACTACATAGCACATGTAACAGAGTGAAATAAAATACAAGCCCAAATCAATTTCATTATTCATTTCAAGCCCTCAACATTTCCTTTCTGGCCACCAACACAGAGTAACTGTACAGTGAATATTTCTTGGATGAAAACTAATATGTGATATAAACCAGTTATAGAATTCATGACGGCGGGCTACTACTTCCACACCCTGTCCCACAGCAGACATCCTCAATCAATCACCCCATCTCACAGAAGACATCCTTAATCAATTGCAGCACCATTTCTTCCTGAACCAAGAGGCCTCAATTTACTTTTCTGCATAGTACTCCTGGATCACTGTCCCCACTGGGGAGTGGCACTGCCACCTAAGATGGAGTAGGAGGTCACTGATGTCCCAGCGTGTTCCCATGCTTTTTCTTTGAGTTTTATAGTTTCTCAAGTTTGCAAGTGTAATGATGAGTGTCTCACCTATTTTTCTTCTTTCTTTATTTCCATCTAGGTATATTTTCTTTGGGGGCATGCAAAGGATATTATCCAGTCTTTCAAAACACTGGAAAGGTAAAAATTGTGGGTAATTGCTTTATATGTTGAATTTGGCATTCATTTAGAATTATCAAAACTCATCACTGCCATCTTGCTTTGGTTATAAAAACAGACCAACTCTCCACTTGGTCCTGAAAGCTAAGCCCTCACTTGTGGCCGAGAGAAGAGGGCCTCTGTTGTTGGCTCCTCCCTGGGACAAGTCCAGAGGTAGCATGGTGGTGGGGGGGCTTGAATTTTGAATTTGAATCTGCATCTTAGACACTTTTGCCTTATGGCCCTCAGTTTCCTCATCTATAAAATAGAGATGAAGGAAAGAAAATGTAATTTGATTTTTTAACCCTGATAAATTCTCAGTTGAGATGCTGGCCTGAAAACAAAGGTCAGATTAACAAGCGAAAAACCAGCAGGAGTTTACTGACACTTGCACTGTGCCCATGATGTGGGAGGGATCTCAGTTCTAACACGTTTCTGTCAAAGCAGTGGTTTAGGGGCTTTGCTTAAATAGTATTTAGCAAAGAGCCATAAATCCTATAAGGACAAGATACAGGTGAGTTTGCTCCCAGATTCTCTTATCTCTGCTGGCTTCGTTTCTGAGCTGGTAAGAGCTCAGAGCTATCCTCAGTAAGAACAAAACTCACTCTGTATGCAGGAAGGAAGGGGAGGTAGCCGGATCTTTTTTTTTTTTTTTTTCAAATCGCCTTTCTGCCATCAGGCAGGCACAGGGAGAAGCAGTGTCCCCTGCGTTTTTAACCTTCTGCCACTTGACAATCTTCAGTATTGTAGTGAGGAATCCATTGGTGTCCTTCAGAGACAGTAACATAGACTGCCTCAAGGATTGAAAGAGGGAATTGATGTAAAGCACCCTGTAAGAGGCACTCAGCAAGTGTAGGGTCTGTTACGAGGTCCACCCATCACCCTCCCAGGTGATTGTGAGGATGGAAGGAAAGCATTGACAGGGTAATGGAGTGAATCAGCTAAACGCAAGGTGTTGTTACCATGTAAGAAAGCACCATGCACACACACACAGATGAAGGAAACATAAATTGAGATTACAAATGGCTCATGGAAGCCTTCCCCCTGTTGTAGTCTGGGATTGAGGCAGCCTGGCATGGGAAGATGACGTCTGCCATCGGTTTGTGGACCATTTCCAGATCTAGCCAACAGGAGGCTGCCAGCTTGCAGGGAGCTTGCATGGCAGAACAGTTTATAGCCATGCATGGCAACAGTGCTACCTCCCTGAGTTCAGTGGGCCTGGGATTGGTTAGTGCCATTTGGACCAGAAAAAAGAGAGAAGAAAGGGGAGCTGTGGGCATTACGAATAAAAGAAAAGCCAGCCAGTGTGAGGCAAACAGCATTGTCTGCCTTTGTCAAAGGCTCTATAGAACGCCTCCCAGACGCCTCAGGGAAGGCTGGCCAGGATCTACAGCAACTGGGCAAGCGCAAGGGGCAAACAGATGGGCAAACACCTGACTCAGACACCCTGGGATTCTTTCCTTCTCCAGTTGTGTTTGGACATTATGCCAAAGGAAGCCAGGGTTCAAATGAGGCAAGGTTTTGCCTGCAGTTGCCCGGGAGAGCCCCAAAGAGATCAGCTGAGGTTAAAACTCAGAGGAGAGGCAGGGTCAAAGTTGAGGATGCAGTTGGACCATTTTTCCTGTGGGCAGAATATGGACAAATGGTCTCTTTGGTTGTCTGCTTTTAGTAAATTTTCACCCCTCCAGCTCTGCTTCCAAGACCCAGCTTCTTTGATGTTCTGCAGGCATTGCATTGAGTACTGGTGAGTTCAAGACTAAGGCTGAACGCCAAGATTCTGTGGTTTTGGAAGGTTTCATGGAACTGCCCCTCCCAGCCAGGCAGGAGACCCACCCAGAGCCTGAGCTGCCAGGTGAAACCAGAAACCATGTCTGAGAAGGAGCCGTGTGATTGTGTGCACATGTCTGTCTCACCCCATGGGGCTCGAGGCTTTCCCAGGGCTGCTCGAGAACTGAGTCTCGGTGTTTTTCAGGTTTGGGGTGATCCACTCGGTGTTCACCAACCTGCTTTTGTGGGCCAACGGTGTCCTCAATGAGTCAAAGCACCAACTCAATGAGCACAAGGAACGGCTCATTACTCTGGGCTTTGGAAACATAACAACAGGTGAGTGGTGAGAGAGGTGAGTAGCCCTTCTGCCATGTTGGAATATCTTGGAAACCTGTAGGTTTCAGAGATAAGACTGCAGGTTCCAAAGAATTGCAGGCCACCCAACTCAGCACCAGCCAGACAGGCCCTGTTGTTGAAAATCTTCCAAAACCTGAATCTCTCATAAGTGTTATGTGCTGAGCATAATTAAAGATTTCTTCCATGACTCAGGGACTTGGAAGACCCACAGTGATCATTCTGATGGCCATTTCTCATGGTCCAGTTTGCTGCAGAAATAAAGGTCTTTGTTTTCAACTACAGAAGATTGATGGTTGCCTCTGCTTGTGTTTTTAATTAAGCCTCTATTACCAGTTCTTTCTGGTAAAAGTATGGCTTTTAAAAATTCATACAAGTTTAATGGTAGGTTGTGGTTAATTGGCTGTAGTTCATTTAAAGTTTTAATCTAACTGTACTTTGCTTTTAATTCTAGCTGATGTCTGTTCCCCCTTGCTTGTATTTGAGAGCCTGTTGGGCTAATCTTTCCATTTTCTTCTAAAATCCTCTAGCATTTTACAATATGTCACTTCTGTGTTAGAACATTCAGGCCAAGGAGGATGTGGGGCAGGGAACTGGGTGTCTCAGGCTTGTTCCTACCATGTACGAGCTGTGTGACATTTGAAAGACATTTAATCTCTCTGAGCCTCCCTTTTCTCATTTGTAAAATGAGGGTGTCTAAATCATGCGCTTGCAAAGATCCCTTCTGGTTTTACCGTGCAGCAAGTCTATGCCAGCTACATAACCCTTGGCTGTCCTGAAAAGTCACTTTGAACCTGTTTCCTCATCAGTGGGGTAGAGTCAACGCGATCACCACCTCCAACCAGCAGCCACTCTTAGTGTTTGGGCCTCATGTCCTCCTTGGTATCAATATCAGTAGCAGCAGTGACAATAATAACAAAAATAAATTGCTATTAAGCACTTGCTGAGTGTCTGACACTGTTCTTGGAAGTTTACACTCTCAGGTAGGTAAGTTTTTCATTTTTGAGATGGAGTCTCTCCCTATCACCCAAGGTGGAGTGCAGTGGTGCAATCTCAGCTCACTGCAACCTCTGCCTCCTGGGTTCAAGTGATTCTCCTGCCTCCGCTTCCCCGAATAGCTGGGACTACAGGCATGTACCACCATACCCAGTCAATTTTTGTATTTTTAGTAGAGACGGGGTTTCGTTATGTTGACCAGGGTGTTCTCAAACTCCTGACCTTGTGATCCACCCGCCTCGGCCTCCCAAAGTGTTGGGATTACAAGTGTGAGCCACCGCACCTGGCCTCAGATGGGCAATATTAATCTCATCTGGATAAAGCCATCAAGCCACAGAGAAGTTAGCCCAGGGTAACATAGTGAATATGTGATTGAGCCATGATTTGAATCCCAGCAATCTGGCTTCAAGACCCTCTGTGAAAGATGAGGTTGGATTAATTTTCTACAAAAGGATGCTGCCAGATCTAACATTCTGTTAATCTGAACGTTTCCTCCTGATTTCTTCCCTTGTCTTCTGCATAACAAGTGTTGAATTTTAAGTGCCAGGGAAACCCTGTATGAATTGAAGATTATTGCCGAGTGCAGTGGCTCATGCCTATAATCCGAGCACTTGTAATCCTAAAGCAGGAGGATCGCTTCAGCCGAGAAAATTGAGACCAGCCTGGGCGACAGAGGGAAATCTCCATCTCTGCCAAAAAAAGCCAGGCATGGTGGCACGGGCTGTGGTCCCAACTACACGCGAGGCTGGCGCAGGAGGATCACTTGAGGCTGGGAGGTCAAGGCTGCAGTGAGCTGTGTTTGTGCCACTGCACTCCAGCCTGGGAACAGACGGAGACCCTGTATCAAAAAAAAGAAAAAGAAAGAAAAAAAGAGAAAGAAAATTGCATCATGTTCTGTGAAAGTAACATTAATGCTACTATGTAGCTTTTCTCAGATTTTATAAGTAATATCTACATATCATTAACTAAATGACAAAGTGTGAAGAAAAACAAACCTGGGCTGGGCGCGGTGGCTCACGCCTGTAATCCTAGTACTTTGAGAGCTGAGGCGGGTGGATCATGAGGTCAAGAGATGGAGAGCATCCTGGCCAACATGGTGAAACCCTGTCTCTACTAAAAATACAAAAAATAGCTGGGCGTGGTGGTACGTGCCTGTAGTTCCAACTACTCGGGAGGCTGAGGCAGGAGAATCGCTTGAACCCAGGAAGTGGAAGTTGCAGCAAGCCAAGATCATGCCACTGCACCCAGCCTGGGTGACAGAGTGAGACTCCATCTCAAAAAAATCCACAGCACTTACCCAGAAATGCAGCAAATGCTGTGAATGTTTGGTTATTTTTTTAATAGTGTGCCATTTATTGTTGATTTTATACTAACATTTGATATTTTTATCAAATGTTAGTATAAAACCTATAATAAGAGGCAGATTTTACATTGCAACCAACACATAAATATGTGTGTGTATGACAAAATAATACTTAGTTTTACTATATCAGAGACACTCTCAAATTTTCTCATTGTTGATTCCACTCCATTCTATCCTATTCTAGTCCACTGCCAATTTATTCTGCTACAAAACGGTTGGTTGCTACCTGATTTTACAGCCTGATATTGGGTTGTGGCTTACATTTAAAAAAATATACAGTTTGTTCTTACTTTTTTCCAATTTCCTTTTAATGGGATTACTTTCTTATATTATTAAAACACATCCTGGCTGGGTGTGGTGGCACATGCCTTTAATTCCAGTACTTTGGGAGGCAGAAGTGGGCAGATAGCATCAGCTCAGGAGTTCAAGACCAACCTGGCCAACATGGCAGACTCTGTCTCTACAGAAAATATAAAAACTAGCTGGGCGTGGTGGTGGGTCAGAGACCCATTGTGGTTCCAGCTACTCGGGAGGCTGAGGCAGAAGAATTGCTTGAACCCAGGTGGCGGAGGTTGCAGTGAGTGGAGATTGTGTCACAGCACTCCAGCCTGGGCAACAGAAGGAGACTGTGTTTCAAAACAAGCAAACAAACAAACATACACCAAAGATAACAAAAACCATAAAGCACATCTCAATTATCATCCGCAGTGGCTGTCTACTATCCCATTGTTGGGATATACTAAAATTTTCTTACCAATTTCTAAATTGTTGGACACTGAAGTGGTTTTTTCTCTCTCTTTCTCTTTCTTCTCTTTCTCTTTCTCTTTCTTTCTGTCTCTCTCTGTCTCTCTCTCTCTCTCTCTCACACACACACACACACACACACACACGCACACACGCACACACACACACACAATTTTACCTGTCTCTTTTTTTATCTTTATTTTTCAAGACTGAGTCTCACTCTGTTGCCCAGGCTGGAGTGCAGCAGCGTGATTTTGGCTCGCTGCAACCTCTGCCTCCCAAGTTCAAGCGATTCTCCTGCGTTAGCCTCTCAAGTAGCTGGCATTACAGGCATGCCACCCACCTGGCTAATTTTTGTAATTTTAATGGAGACGGTGTTTCGCCATGTTGGCCAGGCTGGTCTCAAACTTCTGACCTCAAGTGATCCGCCCGCCTCAGCCTCCCGAAGCGCTGGGATTACAGGCCTGAGATACCGTGCCTGGTCTTACCTGACTCTGATTACACTTTTTATTTGTCCCTTTGAGTAGAAGGGTAGATGGAATTATGGGTCAGAGACTGTATCGCCTTTAGGGCTTTGGGGACATGTTTCATCATTTACTTGAAGCATCTCCCATCCTGTGAAGAGGGCCCTACCATACTGCCACCAGCTTGTCTTCCAGAAGGTGGTGCCCATTTGCTTTCCCCACACAGGTGTTGGAGAGCACCAGTCTCCTGCACGCTTGCTAGCACTGGAGTCATAAAAGGCATATCTTTTGATAATTAAAAATGGCATTTACAAAGTATTTTTTAAAAATAATTTTAAAAATCCACATGTAAATTTAGAAAAGTTAGAAAATACAGGGAAGCAAAATCCAGAAGAGATTAAAAATCACCCGTCATTTTCCACCCAGAGGTAACCACTGCTAACATTTTTAGTTTGTGTCCTTCCAGATTTTTTCCATCTGTGTGTCTGTCTATCCAGCTATCTGTCATCTGCATATCTACTTCTTACAGCAATACAGTCATCGTCTCTATTGTCTTTGGCAACCTGCCAAATAAATGTGATTGAGGTAATGACTATGCTTTGGGATACTCATGGCTATCAAGTTAGCCATGATATTAAACATGATAATAAGCCATGACATGATAAACCTTGTAATCTGGTGGGAAGACCAAGCATGAATCCGCAGTGGAAATGGTTTTCTGGGCTTTTCTGCCTCCCCTGGCACACGCTAATCGCCCTCCCATGTGTTCTACCTGTCTCCCCCAGTTCTGGATGACCACACACCGCAGTGTAACTGCACACCCCCAACTCTCTGCACTGCCATCTCCCACGGGATCTACTACCTCTACCCCTTCAACATAGAGTATCAGATCCTGGCCTCCACCATGCTCTATGTCCTATGGAAGAACATCGGGCGCAAAGTTGACAGCCATCAGCACCAGAAGATGCAGTTCAAGTCTGATGGGGTCGTGGTGGGTGCAGCCCTGGGCCTGACTGCGCTGGCCGCCACCATTGGTGTGGTGGTGGTGTACCTGATTCATATTGGGCGCTCCAAGACCAAGAGCGAGTCAGCACTCATCATGTTCTACCTGTATGCCATCACCCTGCTGATGCTGATGGGGGCTGCGGGGCTGGCTGGAATCCGGATTTATAGGATGGATGAGAAATCACTGGACGAGTCCAAAAATCCGGCCCGCAAACTGGACTCGGACCTCTTGGTGGGCACAGCCTCGGGCTCCTGGCTTATCTCCTGGGGCTCAATCTTGGCCATCCTCTGTGCAGAGA